TTATTAAACTTCAGGAATCCATCCCATAATATTCAACAGCCCCAGTTTTCATACCCATGTTAAATGATTTTATATCTGCTTTGTTTTATTTTTATTTTAATTACATGACCTGGGGAGGAGGGTTTGTGCACAAGTTCAGGTCCACAGAGGTCAGAAGAGGATACCAGATCTAGATGCCCTGGCACTGGAGTTATAGGCAGCTGTAAGCTGTACAGTGTTGGTTCTGGGAACCAAACTCTACTTACTCGCCTAGAAAAACAACACATCTTCACCAACCCCACATCTGACAGAGAACTCAAGAAGCTAGACATCAAACTACCAGATAATCCAATTAAAAATGGGGTATAAATCTAAACAGAATTCTCAACAGAACAATCTCAAATGGTGAAAAGACACTTAAGGAAATGCTCAACATCAGGGAAATGCAAATCAAAACCACTCTGAGATTCCATCTTACACCAATCAGAATGACTAAGATCAAAACACCAATGACAGCTTATACTGGAGAGGGTGTGGAGAAAGGGGAAGATTCATCCATTGCTGGTGGGAGTGCAAACTTGAACAGCTGCTGTGGAAATCAGTATGACAATTTCTCAGAAAATTAGGAATCAACTGAAAGACCTGCAGAGCGTGGACCTTCACGCTCCCACTCAGGAAAGGTGACACCCCAAATCACTCACGAGAAGTGGTCTTAATGTAAAAACATGAGGTCTTTTATATTCCAAGTGCACTGGGGTTCACAGTCATGCGCCATGCAGGGGTAGAGGAGTGAGGACCCTGAGTACAGAACTGAGATAGCTTTTATAGGGTTACAACAAAGCCCGCGCATCGTAAACCAATCATCTCGTAGCATCCAGAGCCCGTGCGGTTCGTACCAATCAATTTAAACCATGCAAGCCCGTGCTTTATAGACTAATCAGTTTTCTATATCCCCAGAGGTCTGCATTTGTGCAGGCTCCTAGGTGGGGTGACAAACGGCAGTTAGGTTAGGTCACTGGGGCGGGGGTTTCACAAGCAGTTTACAAAGTCAGGTAAGGGGCAAGAGTGTGACCTTTCGCCTATTTACTGGCTGAGGGCAGGGTCTGGAATTTAAGGTATTTAGTACTTTTAAACTTCTAGCTTCCTGTGGTCATAGACTGTATTTTTCCATCCTTACACAACCTATCTCAAGACCCTGAAATAACACTTTTGGGCATATACTCAAAAGAGGTACATTCACACCACAAGAACATTTGCCCAACTATGTTCATAACAGCATTATTCATAATAACCAAAACTTGGAAACAACCTAGATGCCTCTCAACCAAAGAATGGATAAAGAAAATGTGGTACATTTATACAATAGAGTACTATTCAGTAGTAAGAAACAATGGCATCCTAAAATTTGCAGGCAAATAAACAGAATTGAAGAAAAAACATCCTGAGTGAGGTAACCCAGACCCAGAAAGACAAACATGGGATACCAAATATAAAACAAAAGATATCCAGCCTACAATTCACAACCCCAGAGAAGCTAGGACCCTCTTCCAGAAACAGATGGAAGCAGATGCAGAAATCCACAACAAACCAATGGACCAAGGACCTGGAGTACAATCAAAGTGAGGGAGGAGAGATAATGTGAACAAAGGAGTCAGAACCATGATGGGGAAATCCAGAGTCAGCTGACCCAAGCTAATGAGAAATCACTGACTCTGGTCTGACAAATGGGGGATCTGCATAAGACAGAGCTAGTCTCCCTTAATGTAGGTGACAATGGTGTGACTGGGACAATATATGAGGCCACTAGCAGTGGGTCCAAAACCTAACACTAATGCACAAACTGACTTAGTGGAGCCCATTCTATATGGAGAGATAATTTGCTCAGCCTAGACACAGGGATGTGGGAGTGGAGGGGTGCCTTGGTCCTCCCTCAATGAGATGATGAGACAGACTTAGTAGACTTCCTAGGAGAGGCCTTACCTTCTCTGAGGAGCAGATGGAGGGGAATGGGGGCAGTAGGAGGAGTGGGAGAGGGGGGGGGACTGGGATTAGAATGTAAAAAGTAAATTAATAAGAAATGTAAAAAAAAAAATAGTAAAAAGGAAAAGAACACACTTTCCTAACTAATGAGCCAATCTTTCCTTCTACCTTCTTAGTTTTCAGTTTCTTGGCTCTTTTCAAGGTAAGTTTTCTGCTGTCATTTCTCTTTTTATCCACTCCTGTCAGCATCGGGCACCCCATCCCTCTTTATGTATTTCTCTAGCTACATGCCAAGTTTTCAGCCTAAGAACACAGAACAGTGTTCAATTTAATCTTTCCAGGGAAATGAAGATGCTTCAAGTAGAGTGCCCTTGCCTTCTACCTCTGGTTAGTGTTCTAGCCCCACTATGCTGCCTGTCCCAGGGTCCAGGTGCAAATGTGCAGGAAGCCACGAGCCAGATGCAACCTGATTTCTGAATAGCATGCCAAGGGCAGGCAGCTCCCAGCTCTGCATCAGGAAGCAACCTTGAGGTGAGGGATAGTTCATGCCATCATCATGGAAACCCCCTCCCAGTCTTGCACACTAGAGGGCCTGCAGTCTGTTCCACTGTATTACGAGAAGTGGACTATCCCAAGTTCCTCTTACAAGAAAAAGAGGCCACTTCATAAGGCGTGAGTCTTCCAAGGAGCTGTGAGCACACAGGGCAAAAGACACTGTACTCTTCTTCCTATTGTAACCCAATGCCACAAACTGATGGTTTATCTAGTTCGGGTAAAGACTTGGAGACTAACAAACATAGGACCCTCTGCCACCTGCTGTTCCTATCACTTGAGCACATGTGGCTGAGGTCTCCAAGGCCACTAAGTACAGCCTATTCAAAAGTCAGTGTTAGGGCTGGGGAGATGGCCCAGCAGGCTCTTGCTGCCAAACCTGAGCTTTACCCAAGGGACCTAGAAGATGAAGACAGAGAAGAGACTCCAACTGTCCTCAGACCTACACACACACACCAAAAAAATTAAGTTTTTCTGGGCTCTCTGAGATGCCAGACCTATGAGCAACAGCCATGAGGAAGAACTGAATTAAGTTAGCCAGATGCTGGGGATGTGGGCAGGAAAAAAAAAAAAAAAAAAAAAAAAAAGCTGCATCCATGGTTGGAGGGGAGTTCCTCCTTTCCTGCAGTCATATGAGGCAGTGGACAAAGACTGGACTCTCTTAATAGTCTTTAAGATTTATTTGAATAATGCTCTGTCTGCATGTATGTTTGCATGCCAGAATGGGGCACCAGATCTCATTACAGATGGTTGTGAGCCTTCATGTGGGTGCTGGGAATTGAACTCAGAACCTTTGGAAGAGCAGCCAGTACTTTTAACCTCTAAGCCATTCCTCCAGCCACGGCATACTTCTCAGACTTTTGTTTTCATTTTTTCCACACAGGATTTCTCTGAGTAGCTTTGGAGCCTGTCCTGGAGCTTACTCTGTAGAAAAGGCAGGCCTTGAACTCACTGAGATCCCCCTGCCTCTGTCCTCCCCCCCCCCATATGCTGAGACTAAAGGTGTGTGTCACCACTGCCCAGAAAAAATCTCAACGATAGAGATTTAAAGCTACCTTTATCAACAGCAAGAGCCAGTGCCTGCTGGAAGAGATTCCCACCAGGCTGCTGCCTGAGCAACTGGGGCACTGTCAGAGAAGCAGGAGGGTAACTGTGGAGTCTCAAATGCTGACTCAAATAACACTAGATTAAGACAGCCACCGTGCCAAAGATAAAATAACTCTTTGTTTTTCTAGACAGGGTTTCTCTGTATTGCTTTGGAGACTGTCCTGGTACTAACTCTATAGACCAGGCCTGCCTCTGGCTCCCAAGTGCTGGGATGAAAGGCGTGCACCACCAATGCCCAGCTTAAAAAATTTCTTGAAGTCCGGAGGCGGTGGTAGCTCACACCTTTAATCCCATCACTTGTGAGGCAGAGACCTCTGAGTTCGAGGCCAGCCTGCTCTACAGAATTAGATCCAGGACAGCCAGGGCTACACAGAGAAATCCTATCTAGAAGAACCAAAAAAAAAAAAAAAAAAAAAAAAAAAGGGCATGATGACCCTACTCATCCAGTGTTCCATGGAACGGACAAAAATTCATTGTAAGGGAAAATGCCTGAAAGCCTTCTGGATACCCTGCTGGACAACAGTTGCCTAAGGAATGTCTTCCCAGCTGCAGACACCCCCAAGGACTTCATTTCCCCTGCCCTAAAGCACTTCCTCCAGCCTTGGGATCACTCTTCATTCCCACAGGTATCAAACGGCATTTAGAGATTAGGCTCTTCTGCAAAACTCATCACACTTCATAGACTGACATACTGTGCCAGTGAACAAAACATGGCCCCTTCAAAAACAAAAGTGCTCATGCTGGGTTCAATTCCCAGCACCTACTTGGCAGCTCACAACTCTCTTAATTCTAGTTCCAGAGGACTGGACACCCATGGCAAAACACCAATGCACATAAAATAAAAAATTAGAAGATAAGGAAACAGAAAATCCCAATAAATCAATAAAACTGAGAAATTTTCAATAAAGTTTTAAAAATGAAACTTTTTTCTTAAAGTTACCACTTCCATATTATAGTCTTAGGTGTCAAATGTATTATTAATGCTTATCAAATAGCTATGTCCACAGTTGGATTCCCATAGGAGAGGAGTGCGCCCTACTGTAAGTAAATTATCTGCAATGATCTTCAAAAGTACCCTATGAAGATGCTGAGGAGGCTAGGGAGGCTGAGTTCTCAGAAGTTTAGAGCCTTCCAAACTCTCATTGCTGAATACTAAAGTCACTAGAACTAAGTAGTACTGGTGATAAAGAATGTGTAACGATTAATGAGCTAGAAGCAGCTCCTCTAAGAGATCTAATAGTTGTCACTAGTTAAAGGCCACAAAAAGGCAATAAAGTACATGTTGAGGGGTATGCTCTCAAAGGAAAACAGTGGTATTGCCTAATAACAAGAATTACCAATCACGAGTTATTTAGAATTCATTACCACAGACACATATACACACACACACACAAATGCTTTATTAATTAATACAACATACGTAAGATATAAAGAGTAAGTAGTTTAAATATCGTCATCATAGCAAACAGGTGGCAATTCAACATCCAGGGTTGAGAGAATGCTGGAAGGAGATTGCAAGGGATCTGGAAAAGAGAGGAATTTCTTGTTAGGTTTCTGAAAATCCTCTAGCCATTATCCATAACAAACATTAGCTGCTACTTCCATCCTAAATCCGTTTATCTAATGAATTTCACACAAACATTGGGATTTCTTAAATGTGGCAGGAGTCTCAGAACTTGCCATCATCAGGAAGTAGGTCTTAAAAGTATGCGAACCTACTTGTTCTTTAGAACAAAAGGAATATCCAAATCCTCAAATAGGACAGGTCACCTGCGTTATCAGAACAAGTGGTCTGATGGTGTACTCTGACCACCAGTTCCAACTAAGACCTAAAGCTTCTGGCAGTGAGAAGGTACTGTCCGTCTACACTGTGGCATGGGCATCCTGGTCTTCTGCTAGCCATGCATGGAACCTGAACTACCATCCAGTCCCGGGTTATATAGACTTCACCTCATAGTCTAAGAAACTATGATGTTATATTTCATCTTCTCCTATGACCAAAGGCTTACCAGATTCCAGAATTACTTCATTTGGGATTAAGACAACGACTGAGGAAGCATTCTTACTATTCTGAAATTTGGCCTCAGTAGTCCACAGGACAGAAGCCGGCACCCAGATTCACCTGCACAACTCTGTCCCCACAGCAGTACAAGTGTTATGTAACAGGTTGCTTATAGCTTTTCCACAGGGCACCGGCTCACTTACTGGATTCCCATGGTAGAAAGGGCGTCTTCAGAGGAGAAGGGGGGTCCAGGTGCAGCAGCTTCTCAAGCCCACTCTCCTCATTCAGGATCATAAGAGGCACTCCACTCAAGGGGAGATGTGCAATCTGGTGCTCCTCTGGCAGGTCAAAACTCTCAAAATCTGCCACAAAGGGAAGCGAGCATCAGGAGGATGCTCCATCACACCAGACAAGGCAATGGCAGTGAAGGTCAAAATATTCTTCACTATTCAACAAATAGAGGGCTGGAGAGATGGCTCAGAGGTTAAGAGGATCTAAGTTTAATTCACAGCAACCACATGGTGACTCACAACCCACTGTAGTGAAATCTGATGCCCTCTTCTGGCATAAAGGTACCCATATATATTAAATTATTAAATAACAAAAAACCAAAATAATAATAATAATAACGATAATAAAACAAAAACCAGGCAGTGGGGGTGGGTCCATGCTTTTAATCCCAGCACTCGTAGGTGAGGCAGAGGACAAGGCAGGCAAATCACTGACTTTGAGACCAACCTGGCCTACAAAGTGAGTTCCAGGACTGGCTCCAAAGCTACAGAGAAAGCCTGTCTGGAAAAATCAAAAAAAAAAAAAAAAAAAAAAAGGAAGAAAGCCAATTCAATAGCCAGTTAAATTATTAAGTTACTTTAACAAACTCTGTGATAAGAGTACCAAAAGCATGAGACTATAATCGGAGCACTTGGAAGGCTGATGGAGGAGCATCACAATACATTTGAAACCATCCTGAGCTACAACGCAAGTCCCCACTCCCTGTCAAAGATTCTGTTATAAAATGAGAACTTCTGCATACCAGGAAAAAATGTGACCATACTGAGGTCACAGAAAAGGGATTTGCAATGATCTGAATTGTATGCCAAGCCAAGATTTTTTTCCTGGAAAACAATTTTCAGCTGAAAAGAGTATTTGTGTGTATCATAACCTCTCAAGGAATGAAGAAAGGCTATCACACTGCAAGGAAAATTTTGTCGACAATGACAGAACTCAGAAATATAAAAAAAAAGGTTAGAACTGTAGAACACTCACCTGCAACACTTAGCATGATGTTAATTTGGAATGTCTCTTACATTACTAACTTGGCCTTTTCCTTTTGTTTGAGAAAGGGTCTCTCTACACAGCCCTGATTGGTCTCAGAGATCTGCTTGCCTCTGCTTGGGATTAGAGGCAAGCACTGCCAAGCCCAGCTATACTGGGCCCTTTCTAATGACATCAGAGGTGATATCAAACAATACACCTTTTTGAGACAGGGTCTCTTTATATAGCCCTGGCTGTCCTAGAACTTGCTATGTAGACCAGGCTGGCCTTGAACTCACACAATGATGACCTTGAGTTTCTAAGTTTCTTAGACATTTTTGCTTCCATTCTCCCCCTGACCTTAGGAAGTAATTCCACCTGAACAAGTCTGTTTATTAAAAGTAAACCAGACAGCCCTGGAGTCTGGAGCTACACATTACAATCACTTGATGTTACATCTAAGAGAATCTCTAGCCAAGGGCATTCCTGCCATACCAAAGACCTTACCTAGAGGATTGAAGGGGAAGAACTTTTCTATTTCTGGGTAGGCATCATCAGAAGCAGGAGCAGAGCTTTGTTGTGTCTTAGCAGCCTTCTCAGTGGTCTAGAAAAACCCAAGAGAATAAGCATCTGTGAGAATAGAAGTCTTGCCACCTGCTTGGTAACATGAGGTTGGAGGGGCCTCTTCAAATGAGGTCACACTTTAAAATTTGTCAATTTTGTGTTACAATTCTTGGTTTTCAGGATTCAGTCAAAAGATAAGGAGAACTGACTCCTGGAAGTTGTCCACCAACCTTGACATGCATCCCAGCATGCCATCACATGAGCAGGCCCTGCCAAACACACACACACACACAAGCTACGGGGTTGGGGAGATGACTCAGTGGTTAAGAGCATTTAATCCTACAGAGGACCTGGGTTCAGTTCCCAGCATCCACAGGGTGGCTCACAGCTATCTAACTCCAGTTCAAAGGATGCAGTGTCCCTTTATCTCCTCCTCGGGCACATGATACACTTATGTACCATACAGGCAAACATCCATACACAATAACAAGTATTTTTTTAAGTTAAGCCAGAAATTTTAGCACCTATGTACATATATTTCCAAGAACAGTGAGCAGGGTTAATTCAAGGCTAATCAACTCAACTATTTAAACCTAACAGTAGAGAAGACCGGCTCAAGGCACCCCAGAATAGTAGCCAATCCTGGGAGTCATTTTTACCTTATAAAAGTGTGATTTTTCTGCCACTGTTACTTCAATCATTTGCTTGGCTAATATTAACAAGTTTATATTCCTTAAACATATGGGCTTAAAAAGCAGCAAAACATAAAACACCTGGAGAATATCAGGCAGACAATAGCAGTAAGCCAAGACAAAAACCTGCGTGCTCTGGATCTTACCTCATCTATGTGTGGGCCAGAATTGGAGGTGTGGGCTGTAGCTCAGGCTGACCCCCAATTTCAGCTTCCCAAGTGTTAGGACTGCAGGTGGCTACCCCAGCTGAGAACATCACACACCTGCTAGTGGCTTCTACCCAGCTGCTTCCTGATACTCTGAACGATAGGCTGAGGAGGCATTAGTTACAATCTCAAGGGTGCTAAGCAACTGGGAGCAATACACTACGTGATTCTCCTCTGTTCATTTGTTTGTGGGCCTCTATTTGCCTCCTCCTTGGGAGAAAGCCAGATAGAAGCTCATTTTTAAGCTTCAAAAGTGCTTTGCGATGGCTCGGTGGTTAAGAGCACCCGCTGCTCTTTCATCAAAGGAGCTGGATTCAGTTCCTAGCACCTGTGTAAGGCAGCTCACAACTGCCTGTACCTCCAGCTCCAAAGGACCCAATGCCCTCTTCTGGCCTCCTCGACTGCCCACACATATGCCCACGGATGCACACATGAATTAAAAAAAAAAAAAAAAAAAAAACCAACAAGGTTTATTCTTATTAAGTGCTAAAGCATGAACACATCCATCATCTTCCTAGCCCGCACTCACCTTTTTCACAGTCAAAGTTGGCTGTTTCTGTTTGAGGGGTCTATTGATCTTTGCTGGATTTTCTGTAACCCTGTTGACAGTTCCCAAAGCCTTTCTGCTGGCTTTAGGCAAGGCTGGAGCATTGAACACTTTGCCAACTTGTGGCGCTGAGACCTGCAATTTCCCATCTGAGGCTTTAACTGTTGAAAAAAAAGTATAATCCTAAGAATATTAGGGGCTCAGTGGGTAAAGCTGCCCAACCTGACAGCCTGAGTTCAATCCCCAGACCTCCACACAGTGTAAGAACTGACTCCCCCACACCATGGAACGTGTGTACCCCCACACACACAAAAATAAAGGTAATAAATATGGTGGTCTTAAAGATTAAGCCATATGAACACCTCAAATTGACCCAGTTCTCACCACAAATCCTTGCTTTGTTTTTGGCAGTTATTTAACACACCGTTAAATAACCTCGTTAAAACAATAATCTGAAGCCAGGTGGTGGTGGCGCACACCTTTAATCCCAACACTTGGGAGGCAGGCAGAGATTTCTGTGAGTTCCAGGCCAGCCTGGTCTACAAAGGAGGTCCAGGACAGGCTCCAAAGGTACACAGAGAAACTCTGTCTCAAACCACCCCACCCCCCCAAAATTCAAACTGGCAGCCGGGCATGGTAATGCACATCTTTAATCCCAGCACTCAGGAGACAGGCAAGAGGATCTCTGTGAGTTCAAGGCCAACCTGGTCTACAAATCAAGTTCCAGGACAGTCAGGACTGTCACAGAGAAATCCTGTCTTGATTTAAAAAAAAAAAAAAAAAAAAAAAAAAAAGACAATAAGCATGAAGCCAGGCTCTGTGGCACGTGCCTTTAATCCTAGCACTTGAGAAGGCAGCGGTCAAGTGGATCTCTGAGTTCAAGGCCAACCTCTTGTGTATGTAGCAAGTTCCAGACCTTTAAAGCTACATCTGCCTCAAAAAATAGATTAAGCACAGAGCCTTGGGACTGATTAGTAGTAGGTAGAGTGCTTGCCTACCATTTGAGAAGCCCCGAATTCAATCCACAGCATTGCATAAGTCAGGCACAGTGGCCATGCCTGTAATCACTGCACTGGGCAGGTGGGAGCTGAAGGATTAGAAGTTCAAGATGGCTCTAGATTATATAGGGAACTATAGGCCAGTCTGAACTACATGACACCTTTTCTAAAGTTAAAAAGAAAGAAAATAAGCATGAAAATATATGAAACCTGACTCTAATCAACCACAAAGTACACTAAATGCTAGGGTCTCCAGACCACAACCATCATCCACTCACAACACCTGTATATTTGAAGCCAGCCAATACTTACCACCAGACACCAGCTTCAACCCATCCTTGGATGCCAAGCGACTGCCTGGTTCTTCATTATCCTTATCAACAAAGATCAGAGTAGCCATCCTGGAATACTCTAAGGAAGAGACCTATATAAGATACTGGTATTGGGGAAATCATGAAGAGTTAAAGCAGCAAAAGATACCAAATTTGCCCAGGACACATGTGCACAAAAATTTAGAATTAAACTGAAGAAGCTAACAGGTCTCAGCCAGATCTTAAACCTTTAAGCCTGAGTCAGAAATACTAAACTCCTAAAGGCAAGTGAAGTTGGTACCCATTAAAACTGTCTCCAGGCTGTAATCTCAGCGCTAGAGAGGAGGAGGCAGGAGGTTGGGATGTTCAGGGTTGGTCTCAAGGACATAACAAGTTCGAGACCAGCCTGGGCTGTTTGAGACTTTGAAGAGGGAGGCAGCCAAGGGAAATGAAAACAGCGTCGCCGCGGGTCGAGCACGCCAAGCGGGCCCAGGGACGCGGGGCCGAGTGAGGCTCAGATCCCGACCCTACTTCGGTCTCCAGTCTGCCGCCAGCCACCCGGAGTTCACCCACAAGACACCACAACTAGACTCACCCAAGACTGCTCCACCAACGACACCGCACACCGCGGTTTAAAACACAACTCGCGCCTCGATTGGACCGTGCGAGAGGAGGCGGGGCGTAGAGTCTGAGAACCAATGAGAGCATCTGAAATTTTCAGTTACCGCTCCCCTCCTGCGTCTCTCTCCCTGGAATTAAAAAACTAGGAGCATACATTGTCCAAAACTCCTGATGGGGTCTTTGTTATCCATGTGTGGACCTGCGAGAAGGCAAATACGTCGTTTCGCTACTTTAAACTTGAAAGACTTTTTTTTTTTTTGGATGATTTTGGATGATGGGTTTCTCTGTGTAAAACCCCATGGTTGTCCTGGAACTAGTTTAGCTCTGTAGACCTAGCCAGTGTTGGCACACACCTTTAATCCCAGCACTCGGGAGGCAGAGGTGGGTGGATCTCTGAGTTTGAAGTCAGCCTGGTCTACAAAGCGAGTTCCAAGACAGCCAGGGCTATACAGGGAAACCCTGTCTCGAACAACAAAAAACAAAATTTCAAATCATTAACCAAATCCTGCATCTCACTCTCTGAGATTCTTCCCCTCAGTCCAGACACATTCTTCAGAACAGATTCTCTTTAGCCAGGGCATCTCTGTATAAGTAATTCTGTCTACTGAGACAGCTATCTGTCTGCTAAAGAGGTTTTTCAAAATGAAGGAGCCAGGCATAGAGACACAATACCTTTAACCCCAGCACCTGGAAGACTGAGGAAAGAGGATCTCTGTGAGTTAGAAGTCAGCCTGGTTCACATAGTTCCTGTAGCCTGCCAAGACTACATCGTGAGACCTTGTGAACTGTTTGAGCAAAAATGTTGATGCTGATAAAATTTGAGGAATGCACATTTATTTTGAAAAGTTTCCCCAAAGTTTCAGAGAGAGAGAGAGAGAGAGAGAGAGAGAGAGAGAGAGAGAGAGAGAGAGAGAGAGAGATGCAAAATATGAAATACAGGATTGCCTTTTGTTAGCTAAGGACTTACACCTTTACTGTCCCTTCTCTCCCCTATTCCTTTTACCCCCTCAATCTGTTTTCTCCTTGCATCTCCTTCTAAATTTTGCTTCTTCATATAAAATCACCAGCACACAAAAGTTTTGTTTTCGAAAAGAAATCTGTATAAATTCCCACGGCTTCCACGTGGATATTCACTAATTCCTTGAGAGATGTTCTTCCTTTCTCACCAACAGGAAAAATGGCTGTGCCTAGGTCCCACTGCAAGTGTAAATCATATAACCACTGTGTCTTTCAAAGGCCATTGTTTTCTTAGTAATGTCCCTAGCTGAGCTCTGTGATTTCTACCTGTTACTGGAAAATAATGTACCCTGTTGGTTGGTAAACTACCCTCATGTAGAATACTGAGTCCTTAGCTAATACAAGTTTCTCCTAATCTAGCTTTACAAAAAGGACTCATCCAGAGATGACCTCTGCCCTCTTGGTACCTCTAGAATCTTCTTGAGAACCCAAGCCTGAGGAAAATTTCCACCTTCCTGCCCAGAAAGTTCTGTAATTCCTCTAAGAAATCATTCTGGTTTGGGCCTGGCTAATTAAATCTCCACAATCTATAACTTCAGGCTCTTTGACTGAGGTGGAGATGTTAGCTATATTCATCTATATTTGAAGAGGAATTCATGTGGGGGTTAAATAACCACAAAACAACACAAATAAAATTTTCCAGGGAATAGCTCAGTAGTCAAGAAAGTTTGCTGTTCTTTGCTGAGGACATCTGATACCAATGATATGCAAACTCATACACCTAAAATAAAACAATGATTAAAAAAAAAGAAATTCCACTAAAATCTCCTATTTTCCAGTAGTTTGTTTAATATTTAAGTTTGTTTGAGACAGGATCTTACTATGTCACTGGCCAGGAACTCAAAGATCCGCCTACCTCTGCTGGGATTAAAGGCGTGGGACATTACACTTACCCTTTTGTTTTTTGTTTTGTTTTTTGGGGTTTTTTTCAGTAAACATTTTCTGCTAAAATTCTACTGTTCTAGAAGGAACAAGGGTTCTTCCCTGCGCGGGGCACAAAGTTGCACTGCCACCATTGTACCTGCAGGGTGCACAACGAACTACCTACGTGGATCGCCGTCTTGTTAAAAAAAGAAAAATCTCCAAGTCCTTGAGAGTGCGCATGTGTCGTCCTTCCGGAAGTTATCCCTGGGCTGCCGGAAGAAGACAGGGAACTCGGAAGTAAACACTACAGGATCACTTCGTTCGAGGCGGATGATTTTGTTGTGCTCTGTGGCGGGACTGGGTAAGTTAGGCTTCCGAGACGGAGCGGACGAACCGGGGACCTCGGGGAGCGGGCATTCCCTGTAGTGAGTCCTCGCGGTGACGAGCCGCTGTGAGCCGGCCGAGCCGGGGTGGGGGGTGGGGAGACTACCGCCCGGGGGCGCAGGCGCCATCCTCGTGTCCAGCCGGAGAGAGGCTGAGTCCTGGTCACAGTGAGGCGGACGTCCCGAGCGGTCCTTACCCAAGCCGACGCCTCTGTCCCCAGAAGAATGGGGATGATCTTATTTTAGGGAGGTGATGTGAGAATGTCTATGTTGCATTTAGTGAGTAGGAGTTGTCACTGTTCTAATCTGTAGGCCCCTCCGCAGAACAGTGTAATCTAATGACAACAATACTTCAGTCTGTCGAAACCTTGAATGTGGCAGGCCTACACTCCAGTGTCCTATGGTGTGTAACATGATTTAAAGGACAAACAGTAAAGTCACCCTTGGGTTTGAGATCCGTGGAGCTGGAGTTACAGTTGTGAGCCACCTGATGTGGGTGTTGAGAACTGAACTAAGGTCCTCTACAGGCGCAGTAGAGGTTCTTAGCTCCTAGGCCATCTCCTGCCCCTTAATACAAACTTCTACAGAGGAACCAGGCATGGTGGTGGCACACGCCTACAAATCCGGTACTTGGTAGATAGAGGCAGGAGGATCAGAAGTTTATCCTCTGCTATGTAAGAAGTTCAGAGACAGCCTAAGCTGTCTACAAAAATTTATGTATATTTTCAGTGAGTCAAACCCAGAAGAGGGCACTTTGAGTGGCATCATTGACTTCTAGTCATCAAGCAGCTAGCATTGATAGAGTTGTGTAAATATTTATTGACTGCAGGAGGAAGGCTAAGAAAGCCTGGGGGGGGGGGGGATGAGTCAGTCAGTTAATCGTGAGGCTAGAAACCAAGGTACTATACCTTGGCTGACGATGTTACCAGTGTTGGCCTTCAGAATAGGAGTGGCAGCATCTGTTGGCTCTTCACTGTAACTGTGATGACTGCTAGTTGCTAGTGGCTGTTGAGACTGGAAATGTGACTGGTCCAAGTTTAAAACCCATAACAGCTTTTAAAACTAAGTTGATTTTTATTTATTTATTTATTTTGGTAGTTTATTGGAAGTTGAAATTATACTTCGTTGGGAATATTTAGTTAAAAAATTTGTTAGGTGGTGGTGGCTCACACTTTTAATCCCAGCACTCGGGAGGTAGTAACAGGCAGATCTCTGTGAGTTTGAGACTAACCTGGAGACTATCCTGGTCTACAGAGTGAGTTCCAGGACAGCCAAGGCTACACTGAGACATCCTGTCTCAAAAAACAAAAAAAGGAAAACACAAAGAAATGTCTATGAGTGTTAATTTATTTCCTTTTGCATACGTTTGTGTTAGTCTTACTGTGTAGACCAGGCTGGCCTTGCAGATATGATCCTCCTGGGTTATAGGCATTTACCACCATTGGCCTTTTTTTTTTTTTTTTTTTTTTTTTTTTTTTTTTTCCTTAAATACGATGTTCTGGTGTGTATGTGTACATGCCAGAAGAGGGCACCAGATCTCATTATACATGGTTGTGAGCCACCATTTGGTTGCTGGGAATTGAACTCAGGACCTCTAGCTAGCACCCCATTGGCCCTTTTTTATTTCTTTAATATTGTTACTCAAAAACAAAGAATTACCTGTCTTATTGGCATTACTCTTCTCTGGATCATACTTTGGAAAGATTTTGAGCTTGAGCAATAGGCTTGTATTTTGAAAATTTAAACTTTGCAGTATGATTTGAAAATTAAATTGGGCAGAATTAGAAAAGACCAGTAAGTCTCAAAATCACAACATGTACTAAAGTGGTAGCATACAACATGAAATGAGTAGATATTCAGGAGTGGTATTCAGAAAGTAAAAAGAAAAAAGTAAGCTGAAATACATAATATTTAGTAAGCTGAAATAGAGCTGTCAATGAAAGGAGCCTGGGTTTCTCAGGGAAGGCCAAGGAGCATGAGGCATGTTGTGGGTGGTACCTCTGAGACTTCTAGGCAGAGATGTCATAATACAATTAGATGTGGATTTGAAGAGTGATGAGTGAGGCTCTGGCTGCACCATAAGGAATCAGTTTCTAAATAAAAATAAGATGAGCCTACAGAGAGTCAAGAACAGAAGGGATACAGGAGAAACCGGTGACATGTTATAGAAGCCAAGGAATTAGAAACTGTAACAAAAGGAAGGAACAGAACTGAAAAATGCCCAGTGGGTATTCAGCACATTGATCAGTATTAATTTAGTTAATGTCGTGGTAGGTTTCATTGGCATGACTGGAAACAGAAGCTAACTCAGAACGACTGGAAGTGAGGAGTACAGAAGGTGTAGAAAGAGACCCCATGATTATAGGTGCTTCTGTGGTGTGTGTGTGTGTGTGTGTGTGTGTGTGTGTGTGTGTGTGTGTGTGTGTGTGTTGTTAGGCATCCCTGAATATAGATAGACTAACACATTTATATGTCTTTCTGACAAGGACTTATGTAATATAGGTTGGTCTTGAACTCCTTATAAAGCTAAGGATGACCTTGAACTTCTGATCTTGTATTCGCCTTCAAATTGCTGGATCACAGGTATACACCACTACACCTGGCTTTTGCAGAACTGGGGAGCCAACTTCCCTACATGCTAGGCAAACACTCTATCAACTGAAGCTTCATTCCCCAGCCCCTAAACACTGGTAATTGTTAATGCATTGGGCATTCGTAGGAAACAGTGATGGGCTGTGTATTTATTTGACTGTAGTAGAAATGTGTAAGACATGCAGAAGGACTAATTTAGGAATATTTGTATTAAAGTCTTTTAAATTTTATATGCATGGCTTTCTCCATTTGTAAATTGGTGTTTTGAGAGAATTGGTATTGAGAATATGTTTAAAAAAATAAACAAACAAACTTTGAATGGTACAGGGTCTCACTATATAGCTTTGACTAACCATGGGTTCTGTACATAGAACATGCTGGCTTCCTATTCCCAGAGATGCATATACCTCTGCTCTCCAAGAATTGGAATTAAAGTTATATATTAAAACACCCAGTTTGTAGAGCCTTTTGAGGAAGAAAAAGAAACCCTTAGAACCAGTGAGATGGTTCAGCAGGTAAAGGCATCTGCTGCCAACCCTGATGACCTGAGTTTCATCCCTGGGACTCACATGGTAATTGGAGAGAACCAACTCGTACAAATTGACCCCTTACCTCTCCATATATGCCATGGTGTACTAAATCCCTGCCCCACTCCCACACACATACACAGAAAACAAACAAACAAAAAATGTAGTTTAAGAATGTAAAGAAACCCTCCTTCACAGACATTATGAAAAAATAAGAATATATGAGACTAGACACTGCTGCTTTCTTTGTGCAAGGACCGGGTTCTGATCACAACACCTCAAGAAGTTTGAAAACTAAGAGGGAGGGGAAAAGTGAAGGAGAAAGAAACCCTGCTACACACAGTGTGTATCATTAGGACATGGTTTAGTAGTCAATGTGGATGTTCTCCTGAAGACCTCCTTTACTGTAAGAAATCCCCTCTCTTTTTAGAGGAAACCAGATCATCATGTCGGCGGCAGCTGTAGATACAGTTAATGCCACACCCCTGCCGGGGTCAAAAGAGATGAGTTTGGAGGAGCCAAAGAAGATGACCAGAGAAGACTGGAGGAAAAAGAAGGAGCTAGAAGAACAGAGAAAACTGGGCAATGCTCCTGCAGAAGTTGATGAAGAGGGAAAGTAAGTTGTTTCATGCATGATCTGTTCTCATTCATGCCCGCTTCATCAGGCTCTCATCCTTTGCTTGGGTAGGAAACTATCCTTTACTAGTTACAGAATTTTCACTCTTCTTTCCTGTTTTATCAAACTCATCAAATAATACTTAAGACCTTATACTGAATAGTAATTATCCTTTTCTACCTGTTTCACTCCCCAGACTAGAGTAGCTACTTTTACATCTTTTTATTCTGAGTTTTTCACATCTCTGAGTAATAATACCTATGTGTTTGAGTTTAACTTCTAGCTCTGATGATTGGAGCTCTCTGACCCCATCCTGTCCTCCCTCTGCCTCCTTTCTGATGCAGCATTAGTCTCAGCATCTTTTTTTATTTTAATTAAGTGTTGATTTAGTCATGATTCTGTAACATTTACAATAACTAAGATTGCTTGTATCTTTTCCTTATCCCAGTTGATGAACTGTCAGGCACTCCTTGTAGAAAGCAAAGCCAAGGATTGACCTCACACAGTTCACTTCTTGGTGGACAGCCTAATCATATCTGTAGTCTCAGCATCTTGATTATAGTGTTCCTCACTGTAATGTAAGTTTACATCTTTACTTTTAGTTCTTCTGTTTGTGAGATAGCAACCATCTTCCCTACCCCACCCCACTGCAGGATTTCTGTTCTTGGCTTCTGTGCTCACGACCTTCGAGACTAAAATGTTATTTTCAAACTTGCTGCTTTACAATTTTACTTAAATTTTATTACAGAGATATCAACCCTCATATTCCTCAGTACATTTCTTCGGTTCCATGGTACATTGATCCATCAAAAAGACCCACTTTAAAGCATCAGAGACCACAGCCAGAGAAACAGAAGCAATTCAGTTCCTCTGGGGAATGGTACAAGAGAGGTGTAAAGGAGGTATGTGGCAACCTGTGTGTCCTTTTGTGGGTGGAGATTTTGTGTGAAGAACTTAAGAACCTTTAATATGATGCTGTTTAAAGTGGGGAGGAGTTACATGACTCTGGTGTTAAAATTCACAGTGTATACAATGTTAGTTAGTTACAGTCTTTTCTTACATGAATTTTGTATTATTGAAATCCTTAAATTTGGTCATCCCAGAACATACAGAGTAGCTGGTTTTCTTTTTAACAAATAAAGTCATTCTGTAAACAAGACAGTGAGAGCCAAAGTTATTTCTAAATGACTCTGGTAAATAAGATATCCATTTTGTTTTTTTTCTCTGTCGTTTAATAGAATTCTATAACTACCAAGTACCGCAAAGGGGCATGTGAAAATTGTGGGGCCATGACACACACAAAGAAAGATTGCTTCGAGGTAAGCTCAGCCCTAATCCTGTTGGGAAACTGTCAGCAAGCTTTCTATTTCCCCTTGTCGGAGAACTTCTGTCTTCCTAAAATTATTTTAGAAAAATAAAAAATAATTTGCATGAAATAGTCCAGCATCATCAAAGTTTCCTGCCCAAAGTCTGTCTGAAAATTACAGAACCTAAAACCCCCACAGCATGTCCACACCAACTGTAAAAGTTGTGTGAAATCTTTCTCTGCGCTGCAAGTTTTTAGAAAAAGATCTGCTGTCTTTCAGAGGCCAAGGCGGGTTGGAGCTAAATTCACAGGCACTAACATTGCTCCAGATGAGCACATCCAACCTCAGCTGATGTTTGACTATGATGGGAAGAGAGACCGGTGGAATGGCTACAATCCAGAAGAGCACATGAAGATCGTTGAGGAATATGCCAAAGTTGACCTGGTGAGCCATTTTGGGAACTTCCCTAGAGGAGATCCATTCTGCTGTACCTCTAACCTGACAGTGCTTTCCTAAGTCTTGGGGCACTGTGAAGATGGGCCATTTTTTTATAGTAGCATGTCTAATTCACTGGTGAATACAGTGTGCTGAGCTGCTTGGAAGCAGTTTTTCTCTCTCTTTCCCTTGAGACAGAGTCTCTCTATATGCTTCTAGCTGTTCTGAAACTTGCTGTGTAAACCAGGTTGGCCTTCAATTCCTGCCGTTGTCTCCCAAATGCTGAGATTAAAGGCCAAGTGCTACCATGCTTGGCTGGCATCAGTTTCTTGAGTCTTTTATTCTTTAGTCCCAGTGTGACCAAAGGTACTAGACCTGTAAGAACACCCAGATTCATTTATTGGGGCAAAGTCTTACTATTTAGCTCTGGCTTGCCTAGATCTCACTATACAGATCAGGTTAGCCTAAAACTTACAGCGGTCCTCCTATCTCTGTCTCCTGATTTAAAAACTCCTATGCTAGGATCAAAGGTGTGCAGCATCACACACAGCTGCTTTTGATGTTTTGAAATTCTGAAGTCTTTGCCGTAGGCTGTGTATACAGTTTGTGTCTAAGACTGCTTTACAGTGCTCACACATACCGTGGAAGAATAGGTAACCTGTTTCAGAAAACTGGATTTTAACATAACTTGAGGTTTTTGATTTTTGTTTTTAAACTCAAATTCCTTCAAAACAGTAATCTGTTCTGTTGAGGTTTTTGTTGTTGTTGTTGGGTTTTTCCCCCCATAAGTAATTACAGATTATACTTAAAATCATGAGTTTTGTTTTTGGGGTCAGCTTCTATCTCATTCTATTTTCATTTTGAAGGGTTACATGTAACCTTGGCTGACTTTGAACTCCCTATGACTATAAATATGTAGCCAAGTGTGGTTCTGAGCCTCCAGTATGCTAGGATTATAGATATGTGCCACCATTTCTGGCAATATCATGCATTTGCACATAAAAATCTAGATTCCATGTTTTCTTGGACGCTGAAATATATAGTAACCCCAGCCTGCTCACAAACAATCAGCCAGTCACCTGGAGGCAGCAGCATCTGCCACTGTTATTGGGGCTCACTCTGTGTAGTTTACCATTGCTGCCACCTGGCTCTGCTTACATCAAGACTAGTTCATGCAAGGGTCTAGCATGCCATAAGTAAGCCCTTTCTTTCTTGTCTTTTTTATTTTAGACAGGATCTTCTACTTGGTCCATTTCTAATGTCCATTCTGAAAGCTCTAAAGTCACTCACTTTAAATGTTGTAAGTAAAATTGAAATGTCTCTATTTTTTAGGCAAAACGAACATTGAAAGCTCAGAAGCTACAAGAAGAGTTAGCCTCTGGAAAATTAATGGAACAAGCTGTAAGTAAAGATATAAAATATTCAGAGTCTTTTAAACAAACAGTGGTTCTCAACCTGTGGGTTATGACCCCTATGGGGTTGCTTAAGACCATCAGAAAACACATATATTTACATTATGATTCATAACAGTAGCCAAATTACAGTTATGAAATAGTAACAAAGGTAATTTTATGGTTGGGGGTTACCACAACATGTGGAACTGTATTAAAGGGTCACAACATCAGGAAGGTTGAGAACTACTGCTTTAAAACAATGAAATGAAACATAGAACAAGAATTAATTTTGTATGTTTCTGGTTAGGGAGGAACTGAACATCTGTCTCCCATCTCCTAAGCACTGGACTTGTATCAATGAACCATATACACCGGGTCTTTACTCTTAAAATAGCATTTATTAAGACTTTCATTAACAATATTAGCTACCATATATTTTTGTGATTTATGAAAAAAAATAGAAGATCATTACAGAAAAGACCCATAATACCAGGTTTCTTTCTTTCTGACTTTTTGCATATGTGCTGTGGTGGGGTTTGAACCCACAATACAAATGTCCTGTTTTCGGATTTCTATTGCTGTGAAGAGACACCATGACCATGGAGACTTTTATAGAGAGAACATTTAATTGGGATGGCTCCTTAGAGTTTCAGAGGTCAGTCCCTTATCATTATGATAGGGAACATATCGGCATGCTGGCAGACATGGTGCTGGAGAGGTATCTGAGACACTGGGCAATACCCTGAGCATAGGAAGCCTCAAAGCCCACCCCCTATAGTCACACACTTCTTCTAACAAGGCCGTACCACTGCAACAAAGCCACACCTCTTAACAGCACCACTCCCTATGAGATTATGGGGACCAATTACATTCAAACTACAACATCCTGACAGCATTTTCTATTTGGATTTCATTTTTAAAAACTAGTAAGTTTTAGGGCCAGTGAGATGGCTCAGTGGGAAAAGGTACTTGCCATGCAAGTGTGACAACTTGGATTTGAGCCTCAGAGCCCGTATATAAAGGTGGAAGGAGAATACTAACTTTACAGAACTGTCCTCTGACCTTCACATGTACACAATGGCATATGCTGACCTAATAATAAATAAAAGGAAAACTAGCCAGGCTTAATGAACATGATGCATCTAATGACTAAAACAAATAGAAATGAGTATTTATTGGGTTCTTTGCCATCTTCAGCTTCCCATTACTTTGTATGATTATAATCGTATAGCAAGAGGCTGAAGAGTGGTTAATAACACTTGCAGAGCACTTGAATACAGTTCCCAGCATCCACATCAGGCAGTTTACGACTGCCTATGACCCCAGATCCAAGCAATCCCAAGGGAACACGCATACATATGGATGCATGCACGCACACACACAGAGACATCCTGTATCAATAAAACGTAGTTGTTTTCTGGTTTTGCAGACATTAATATAATTAAGTGTTCACAATAGCACACTTGTGTGAGAATTTATTGAGTTGAAATGAACTAGCCAACCTTCCTTCCTGCCCTCTCTATTCAGTGCTAAGGATCAAACCCAAGGCCTGGTGTATAATAGGCACAAACTCCTCATCAATACCCATTTATATGTTTTTTAAATGCTAAGTAATCAATAAATTAAGTGAAAGGGACTCACAAATGGTTTTCCTTCTTTCCTGATGCAGAATTCTCCAAAACACCAGTGGGGAGAAGAGGAGCCTAATTCTCAGATGGTAACACATGCTTATCTTTTCTGGTTGCATGTTCTTTTTTATTTATTTGTTTGTTTGTTTGTTTGTTTGTTTATTACCCCCAGTGGCTTGTAGTAATTGTCATAATAATAGCTCTAAATCACACAGATAAGCTTTTGTTGTTTAAAGGGAAAGGAAAACAAGAGCTTTGACTTTTTGCTTGGTTTTTTCACCAGTCACTCTTCCTTTCAGGAAAAGGATCATAACAGTGAAGACGAGGATGAAGACAAATATGCAGATGATATCGACATGCCCGGGCAGAATTTCGACTCTAAGAGGCGCATTACTGTTCGGAATCTCAGGATTCGAGAAGATATTGCAAAAGTAAGTCTTGTCAGCCCAACCTAAAGCTCTGACAATGTTTCCACAGCTTCCTCTGCTTGCACTGTTGTCTGTGTGCGGTTTGATTAGTTTGATTAGAGTCACTCCAAATGACAGCACCATGTGCTTGTTACCATACTAGAAACATAGATGGATGTTGGTTTGATCAGAACCCAGTCCTCTGCCCTGATGAACTCTTTATTGCTATAAATAAATGTTAATTCAGTCTTGAAATATTTTTTCTTCTAGTATTTGAGAAATTTAGATCCAAATTCTGCCTATTATGATCCAAAAACTAGAGCGATGAGAGAGAATCCTTATGCCAATGCAGGAAAGAATCCAGATGAGTAAGTATCCAGTTAAATTTACGGACTTCGGAGGTGGGGGCATGTCATGCTTTCTAAGTTGATTTTGTGAATGAGTTTTTCTTAATGGGAAACAATTTCTGAAACAGCTTTTTAAAATCTGTGCTTACAGAGTGAGTTATGCTGGAGATAATTTTGTTAGATACACAGGAGACACCATTTCAATGGCTCAAACACAATGTAAGTATTAATTCTACACCACCTTTTCTTTTCTTTAATTGGTTTTCTGTGTAGTTTTGGAGGATGTCCTGGAACTCACTCTGTAGACCAGGCTGACCTCACAGAGATCAACCTGCCTCTGCCTCCCAAGTGCTGGGATTAAAGGTGTGCAATACTGACTAGTAATACCAAGACCTTTTATATGAGCTATGGGGATGAGAGCCAGCGAGGTGACTAAGGGTGCCTGCCATCAGGAAGTTCTGTCCCCAGTGTCTCCATGGTGGTTTTCCTCTTAGCTGACATGTGTTCTATGGCATGAATGATCACACACATTTGCACACCCAGATAAATAAGTGTAAAAAATGAAATTGGAGGTTATAGAACAAGCATAATAGCTTATGTGTATGACCCTACTACTTAGGAGACTGGGACAGGAGGATTGCCACATGTTTGAGGCAACTCTCTAAGAAAAATCCAGCAGGCAAGAAAGAAAAGATGGAGGAGGTAGTAGGGGAGGCACTGTGAACAATTACTTAAAGCTTGCTTTTAAAAAAAATGCAGTGAACTAGCAACTCATTAAGAAATTTTGAATTATTCTAGTGTTTGCTTGGGAAGCCTATGACAAGGGATCTGAAGTACATCTCCAGGCAGATCCTACAAAACTAGAGCTGCTGTATAAGTCCTTCAAAGTCAAAAAAGAAGACTTCAAGGAGCAGCAGAAGGAAAGCATCCTGGAAAAGGTACCACTAAAAAAGGATTTTACTTTCTGCCTAAGAAGCATTAACCTTGGTATACAGTACGAAGAGTCCCTTTTAACCCATGAGGCAGAGTCCTTTCCTAAACCTGCCTTAGTTGGTATAGACTTTTGAAGCAATCATACCCCTGCTCCCCAAGATGTAGTACTTAGGATAGATGTGTATTATTTCTCACACTTCTTTCTGTCAGCTGGGTCCCCTGATACAATACTGCTCAACACTGCATCACATAGTCTTATCTTCTCATTGCCTAGCCCAGCTTTGTAAAACGGTTTTTAGGATCCTAGGGGCCATAGCTAGAAAATGTGTGCCCCGGTGCACAAAGCACACTTTGTTAGCTTCCCATTGGTGGGAAAATGTCACATAGACACATCCAGATTCCAGGGACAGAGAAATTGACTCCATCTCCTGATGGGAGAACCAGTAGAGTCATGAGGCAAAGGATATCAGACATGCACCTAAAGAAAGGAATTTATGGCTACCTTGTAACCAATCTTGATGACCAGATCAGTAGCAGTAGAAATATTTTACTTAAATAGGAAGAATTCATGATGCTTTTTTTTCTGTTTCATCAGGAAAGTGAGTTTTAAGAAAAAGTTCATTTATTCCCTTTGAAAATAAGCTCTTTCATAAAGACTTGATGTAAAAGCTTGGTTATAAAGTGGATTTAATAGTGTCCATTGTCCTTTTAGTATGGTGGCCAAGAACACTTGGATGCTCCTCCAGCTGAGCTGCTGTTGGCCCAGACAGAAGACTATGTGGAGTACTCCAGGCATGGGACAGTCATTAAAGGCCAGGAGCGGGCTGTGGCCTGCTCCAAGTATGAGGAAGACGTGAAGATCCACAACCACACGGTCAGTGCTCAGCTCCATGCCGTTTCTCACATAATGCCCTTAGCCACCATTGCTTTCTCTTCTTTGTTGTTGTTGGCATTTTAGCTGTGTTCTATGAATTTTTTTAAAAGTCAGAAAAATTAAAGCTATTGCTGTATTCACCTGCATGTTTACCTAAAATCAAAATATTTTAGTCTGTTGTACTGTTTATATTTGTCTAGCTTTGAATGTACACTAGTATATAGATAAATGCACATATTGTACTTACTAATTTTTGGCATAACTATTTGGAAATTGCAGGTAGAATATTTCACTTAAAAAGACTCTGTCATACATCTCCTAAAAAATGAGAATTCTAGATAATCCTGCTACCCTCTTGTGCCTCAGAAACTGACATTAACTCCTTAATTCATTCGTCTTTTCTCAAGGTGTGTGTGTGTGTACATACAGATTAAGTACATTTAATAGCTGTATTTTTGGTCAAGTCCAGTTAAGTCTGTATTGATTATTTGTTGGTGTCCCACACACACACCCAACCCCCAAGAGACAAGTGTCTGTGTGTAGCCCTGGCTGGCCTCAACTCAGATCTGCCTGCCTCTGAGTGTGGGAATTAAAGGTGTACATCACCAAACCCAGCCCCTACATTTCTTAAAACAAGAATATAGGTCCAAAACCTAAATTAAATAGAACTTAAATATTTTGACAGGAATGTGTAGTAGTTTCATTGTTCATTACATCATAAAGCATATTGATGTATGTATGTCTGTATGTATGTTATTTTCTGGTGCTAGAAATTGAATCCAGGTCTCATACACTCTGAGCCATGTTCTGCCACTAAGCTACAGTCTTAACCCTGTTTGTTATACATCTAAGCTAACAAGTTGATTTTTTTACATCAAGGCTCAAAAATCTGACAGTAGCTATACTGTGTAGACTGGAATGAGCCAGACAGACCTTATAAGCTATAAACATAGTAAGTCTAACAAGATGTGTGCAGTTTAGCAAGAGCCACTTATTAACAGTAAAATGGAGGCTTGATGCCCCACCCCTTCACTTAAGAGAAATCAAGTACATTCAATTTTTTCATAGAGTTTTTCTTTGTGTGTGTATGTGTGTTTTTTTTTTTTTTTGTTGTTTTTTTTTTTTTTTTTTGTTTGTTTGTTTGTTTTTCAAGACGGAGTTTCCAGGGTTTCTCTGTGTAGCTCTGAGTCCAGGAACTCACTCTGTAGATCAGGCTGGCCTCAAACTCAGCGATCTGCCTGCTTCTGCCTCCCCAGTGCTGGAATTAAAGGTGTGCACCACCACCCATGTAAAATCCCTAATTTCAGGCTCCTTTTCAAACACTCTTTTGTGTCTCTCTACAGCACATCTGGGGATCTTACTGGAAAGAAGGCCGCTGGGGATACAAATGTTGCCACTCATTCTTCAAGTATTCCTATTGCACTGGAGAAGCTGGGAAGGAGAGTGTTGTAAGTAATTATGCTCTAGTTTGTTCTTCTTTTTCTGGAGGAGATTTGTAAGGGATGTGAGACCAGGTTTCATGTAGGCTTAGCTAACTGAATTCACTGGCCAACACTTGGCCAACACTGAGCTTGAACTTGTGATTGTACTGCCACCGTCTCCCAGATGCTGAGGCTACAGGCATGTGCTCAAGCCTGGCTTTAGGAGGCACTGGAGAAGGGCCTGGGGCTTTGCAGGCTGAGCAAGGACTCTGGCAACCAAGCTGCATCCCAGCCCTTGTCCTCCAGTTCTTAAAGGTGTAAGGCAGCCAGATCCTGCAGAAAACACATCTCTTCCTGTTTCAGATTCAGACCTGTTCTTCAAATGATTTGTAATTGTAGTCTTCACCTGGAATTATATTCTCTCCCCACAGAACTCAGAGGAGTGTATTATAAATGATGCAACTGGAGAAGAATCTGTGAAGAAACCTCAAACCCTCATGGAGGTCAGTCTGTAATCCTTTGTTCTGAATTGTTGGGTCCTGGGTGGGGGTGGGGGAGGTGTTAAAACACCTGCCAGAGCTCTGAGTTGACATGGTGTTTCAATTCTCCCTGTCAGCTGCATCAGGAAAAACTAAAAGAGGAGAAGAAGAAGAAAAAGAAGAAGAAGAAACACCGGAAGAGCAGTTCCGACAGCGATGACGAGGACAGGAAGCACGAGAAACTGAAAAAGGTACTTTGTGACGTCTAAGAAGTAAAGTGACAAACAGCAGGAGTCATCATCTGTGGGGACCTTGAGGCATTTTCTTCCTGCCTGAAAATAGGAAATGTAGTGGCGATTTTGTGAGTCTGAGTGCGTGCGTGCATGCATACCTATGCAGAGGTTGGAAAATAACTGGCAGGCATTGGTTCTCCTTCAGTCATGTGGATTCTGGACATAGAGCAGCAATTGCCATCTTGACAGCCCCTCCACCAAATTTCTTTAACTGATTTAAAAAAAAAAAAAATGTCATTAAACATTTTGTGCTCTATGGAAATTACCCATTGAGCCAAATAGTAACTAGTTATAGTTTCACAGTACAGGAGCTGAGTCCTGTGCTCCTTTCAACAGTGTGGGTTCGACGTAACACTTCATATTCCGTGAGGTCTTTCATGTTTTTGAACAAAAGCCACGTGATAGAGATTTGAGGAGCTCATTTTTCCTTCTCACCACAGGCACTGAATGCAGAGGAGGCCCGCCTTCTCCATGTCAAAGAGATCATGCAGATGGATGAGCGGAAGCGGCCTTACAACAGCGTATATGAAACCCGGGAGCCCACAGAAGAGGAAATGGAGGCCTACAGAATGAAACGGCAGAGGCCAGATGACCCCATGGCCTCTTTCCTGGGACAGTAGTAACAAGTTAGCCTGGGATACATTCACAGCATGTTCATTCTGGCTCCTTGCTGACTATAGATACAAGATCCTCATCCTTCCTCTTTGTTGCCTGACATTAATAAAGCTTTCAGAAGTCTCAAAATCATTCTCCACAGTAAGGAAACAAAGTGAGCAAGAAAGAGTATATAGTTGTTGGTTAAGGTTAAAAATCATCCATTCCAATTAGATTTGGAAAGAGACTTTGGCTGTCTTCCTCTTAAGATTGTCCTTGCAAAGCCTGGCTCAAGCCTGTGATGTCAGCACCTGAGTGGTAGAGAGAGGCAGGAGGATCTAGAGTTCAAGGTTAACCAAGTTTGGTGATGCACACCTGTAATCCTAGGGCTTAGGAGATTGTGCAAGAGCCACCCTCAGCTACATAGTAAGCTTTGAGACCAGCCTGCACTATGTGAAGCCTTGTCTCAATAAAAGTTTGAAGCCATCCTAGGCTACAAAGCATAATGGTCTCAAATGTAAGAAGAAGAAAAAAAAAAAAAGAAATCATCTGTACCATAGTTGGGTCTCAAACTGTGTGTAGTCTCTTGTGTTGTAGGAAGGGCTTCACTCTTAGAGCCAAAGCTATAGTTTAGTTACTAGTACTTCCAGTAGTGACGTCACTAATAATTTAACTCAATCGCAGTTCTTTTAGCATTCAGTTTTGCCGTCTAAGATTTTCTTGGTCTAAAAAAAAAAAAAAGATTTTCTTGGTTTTAACAACAAATACTTTACCTTCATCTGCAGTCTGCATCACTAGAAGGAAATCTACAAGGCATGTAAAAATATCTGAGTTCTCCATAATCTGAATAATAAATCTATTTTTCACTTGATTATTAAATTTTGGGTTTTTGTGCATTTCCTTGTACCTTACATCTAAAATGCTAAGCTTTTGAATGGTCAGCATTGACTTCTTCACACTTACCTTGCTGAACATGAATTTTTAGACATAGAACTCCCTTTTATGATAGATGTAGTTTTTACTACTGTATGTCATTTAATTCTGGTCTTCATAAGTTACAAAACATCTTAGATATCTAGCTACCTAGTCTGCATACCCAGAGAAGGTGTCCCTTCATAAAATTTGAAGACCAGAAAAACTTGAAGCTACAGGTTCTTAAAAACATCTTAAGGTTGACTTTCTGCCATCTTCGTAGCTGTGGTCCTCAGCCTTCCTTGCCTAAAAACATGACAAAGACAACGCTGACACAGTAAGACTGTGAGACCTTGATCTGAGTACACTGACTCAACAAATGCGTTCCAGACTGACTTCTAGGATACTGTGTGGAGTCAGCATCTCAGACATGGCAGAGGGAAAGCAACTGAATCAAATTACAGGATGTCAGTATTCAGACTGAGTAAAACTACAATGCAGGCTCGGGGAATTCACTCAGTCACACAGGGCTTGCCTTGCAAGCCTAAAGATGTGAGTTGGAGCTCCAGGGCCCACATAAAAGAGAAAGAAAGCAGGCTAGCCAGGTCCATTGGTGGTACTTGTAATCCCAGCCCTAGGGAGGCAGACAGACAGATGGCCATCCAGCCCAGCCAAATCTCCAAGTACCAGGTCAGTGAGCAGCACCCAAGTTACAGGTTGTTCTCTGACCTCTATACACATGGCACGCTCATGTACCCACACAAGCACACAAAACTATAATACAAATAGATCCCTGATGATAAAGGCCAAAACTGTTGTATCCCTACCTCAACATAGGTCTATTTTGTGTTTTATCTTTTGTCAATAAAGATTTCATTGAGAATATTTAACTGAGTGTTTGTAGTGCCAGGTAACTATTAGGTAGAGAATTGGATTAGAGAAGTGTTAAAAAAAAAAAACCTGGGTTGACTTCTTTTGAGTTTGTCAAGAAAATTTCAGCATCACTTATCAAACTTAAACATTTCCTTCCTGAGGCCTAATTTTTCTGATTTTATAATTCTAATATCCAAAATCATACTATTAAATTGGGGAGTACACAGGACAGTACTTAGAGTTATGTGGACATTATCTTTGATTTTTTTTTTCTTCTATACAGGGTCTCACGTAGTTCAGGCTAACTTCACAATATATAGCTGAAGATGAACATCCTACCTCCACCTCCCTAGTGCTGAGGTTATGGGTGTGCAGCCACTGTGTCCTGCTTATTTTAGTATCTCAGAAATAGTCACCTCTTCCAGTGTTGAGCTTTGGTGTTGTCTCTAATGTATCTCTGTCTTGGAGTGCAAGTTATTTGTATCTTATAGTTAGCACATATGTTTAACTCCAAATAGCTTGCTTGATTTTCAGAAGTTAAAGCATGGCAACAGATGTGTCAGATTCAAACATCAGTTCCTTTAGTTAAGCCTTCAGTTTCTGGCTTAGATGGCTGCTGTTTTTTGCAATTTTTGGGGGACAGGTTTCCTAGTCTCTACATTGACCTTTTAATTAAATCTGTAATATCAGCTCATGGCAACCCATAGGCTGGGCACAGTGGAAGAGCACTTGCTGGGCTCCAGCCTCAGGATTTGAATTTGGATCCCAGGACCATGTAAAAAGCTAGGCATGACCTGTAATTATCCCACTGACATCTTCCTCCTCTGGCCTCTGTACACAATTAGGCATACATATATACCACTCATAAGCATATGAGTGTGCATGCACACACATACACATAAGCACAATCTTGTCTTATAAATTTAAATGTCTTTTCAGCCTGGTATGTTGGTCATTTGAGAGGCTGAGACAGGAGGGTTATGGCATGTCTCAGGTCAGTCTGGGATACTTGGAGTGTTCCAGGGCAACAAGCTTGTCCCCACCCTTGCCTGCCCCCCACAAAAAAAATAAGAAAGTGGTAATAAAAGTGCTGGCCAGCAAACCTGACCACCTGAATTCAATTTCTGTGTTCCACAAGTCAAACACACACACACACACACACACACACACACACACACACACACACACCCCATACACTGAAAAAAAAAATTTTTTTTCCAAGATGGTTTGATTCTAGAACATTCGCCCATGTATTGTGTAAGTTGTGGAAAGGGCAGGTGCAAGCTGTTGAAGAAAGTATTATTACTTATTTCAATGGATTTAATTAAGTTTATTTATTTCATAATTTTTCATATATATGCAGGATTTTTGCGTGTGTGTGTGTGTGTGTGTGTGTGTGTGTGTGTGTGTGTGTGTGTGTATGCACTGAGTTCTTGCCCAGAGGTTAGAAGAAGGAATAGATCCCCTGCAACTAGAGTTGGTGGTGGGCCACCATGTGGGTTCTGGGGATGGAACCCTGGTCCTCTTCAAGAGCAACCAGTGCTTCTAATTGTTGAGATACCTCTATGGCCCAGTGGAACATATCTCGATGGAATTTAAAGAGTGCCTGGCATTGGCCAGAGTTCAATTTAGGAGTAGACAAGCTTTCTTTTCCTCATTTTTCTAATAGAAAAGCTCAGTTACTGGAGCTTTATCATCTCCACTCTCAAAGCCTAAGCCCTCCCGAAGTTGAAAGGTGAAACTATGCAAACCTCACAACACCTTCCTTCAGTCCTCCAGTTCACAGCTTTAAAACCCAGGCAGGTCACAGCACAAACATCTAGCGGCTCTGGGGACCACCTCAGCAGGTCACTACTGTGCCTGTGCAGGAGTAGCCTCGCCCTTTCCCTGAAACACTGGATTGGCTGTAGCCTGCAAGCTAGCTCTTTTGGAGGCAATCGTGCCTTGAGATTCCCTCTGGGAAGCAGACCCCACAGGTCCTAGGCTCCAGGATGAACTCAGAACAGAACTGGACCCTGGAACTGGCTCCTGAGCATCCTGGACCACACTTGAGGCTAGAGAGAGGCTGCAGGACCCCAGTTCGCTAACACTTGAGAGCCTAAACAATGATATTTACTTTGTTCTCCTAATTATGCTGCCCAGCAGACCTGGAAAGTTGATATTGCCCTTTGCACGAGGATCTAAAAAGTCCCAGTCAGCAAGTGACAAAACCAAGTTCCCAAATAGACGTCTCAGTCACTATCGCCTGTGCAGACACTCCCACTCCTGCCCTGGCTGTTGATTCTAGCTACAGCCATGCTTACATCTCCTGCCTCTCCATCACCCACAGATGGTAGATAGGTTCTGCTTTCTATAGCCAGTTCCAGGCCAGCCAAGACTGGACAGTGAAACCCTATCTTTTTTTTTTTTAATATTCCAATCCCAGTTCCCCCATCCCCTCCTCTTCCCTCCCCTGCCTCTCCTCACACCCCCATTTGCTCCCCAGAGAAGGTAAGGCCTCCTAAGGGGAGTCAATGAAGTCTGTCCCATCATCTCACTGAGGCAGGACTAAGGCCCTCCCCACTATGTCTAGGCTGAGCAAGCTATCTCTCCATAGGGAATGGACTCCAAAAAGCCAATTCATGCACTAGTAATAGATCCTGGTCCCACAGCCAGTGGCCCCACAAACTGCCCAAGTCACCCACTGTCATGTGCAATCAAGGGGCCTACCTAGTTCAGTCCTATGCAGATTCCCCAGCTGGTGAGACCCTATCTTAAAAAATAAAAACAAGTTTAGTTTGATGAATCTACTCCTGGGCTATGTGTATGCACATATGTTTCTATAAGGTGAACATTCATATCCAACTGATTGGGGTTTTTGCATCAATATATGCTTCGTAAAAGTGCAAAACATTTTACTTTGTGATGTTTTTTTTTTTTATTTAGCTGAATAGGTTGACCTCAAACACACTGTGTAGCTAAGAATGACCTTGAACTCCTGATCCTCCTGCCTCCACCTGCTGAGTGTCAGGTGAAAAGTTTCTGCACCTCGATAAGCCTCTCCACAGATGCAGCAAACCAAATCAGACCAAGTCAAACCAAATTAGAAAAAGCCTTCATTTAATGGATATATTGCTCCCAGGTGGCCCTTTCAGCTCCCAAGAGAGGAGATGGGAGAGAACAGAAAACCACACATCTATTTTCTGAGTGGCAGTTTAAACACCCCGTGGGAGTGGTCTTGATCATCTCTGGGGGAGGGGTCATCATTTGGTGGGCTTTCTGAGATGCAGAAGGGTTTGGAGGGAGATAGGGTGGGGGGCTTGGATGGAACTTGCACCGTAACACTGGGGTTACAGTTATGCCCCATCAAGCTCAGTTTGGAGTAATGAGAAAGGAACTCCCGGCTTTTTCTTGTCTTTCATTCATCGTTTTTCAGGTCTTTTAAGATGGGCAGGAGAAGTCTTTGGAAGTGAATTGTAGCTGCCTTCAGACGATGCTTTGGGGTTACTTCCTATTACAAAAAATAATCTGCATAAAATCCATGAGAATCACTGATGTATGCCCATCATCTGACTTAATGAAAGCCAACTGGAATTCCCTTATCTCCATCCCACTTTGTGAGTGTGCTGCAGTACGGTATAGCAGAGGGCAACCCAGACATCGTTGTACTTGTAAACGATTATCTCTAACAACAACAAAAAAGCCTTGAACAGAACTACAATCCCAGTATCAAACCCATTCAGATCAGTGGACCCCTGGTGACGCTTTTCCTGTTTCAGTGTGTTTAGAGCATTGTTGTCCCAATTGCTACAAAGGAGCAGGCAGAAAGCTTAAGTTCTAAAACATAAGAAAGCTTCTTGGATGGCAAGTTCATCTTTGAGAATTTGAAAATTCTTGCCACCTAGTCTTTTCCAAGGGGGACAGAGATGAACATTATAAATGCACTCCCTCCAATCGTATTTATCACTGACAGAGAGGTGTTGCTCACCTTGCATGAGGATGAGTGAGGCAAGATGAAGATCCCAATCATGCCTCAACACCCCTCCCAACACTAATGATCTTTCTTCCATCCAAGCTTGGACATACACTCACTCCATTGCCTCCCCATGTAATAATGGGGTCACAGGGTACGTGAGTTATTTAACCAAGATAGAGCTACAAATTTTCAAGAAGCTGTTAATGAATGAGCAGATCCGGCTGGACTCTCTCAGCATCACCTGGGAGCAGCTAGGCAGAGTCAGCTTGGCAGAGATAGTTCATCTCTCAACAGAATTCCTTCCTGGGGTATAAGTTTGGGATGTGAGTCATGAAATCTTGAACAGAATGAACCAGAAAAAAAATTTCCCTGGTATAGAAAAAGCTAAGGAACATTCTTCCTACCTGGTGTTCCATCTAAAGCAAACACTACCGAGTTTGATGAAAGAAGAATGTGATAAAATACAGGAGTACAAACAATGTGTGGTGGAAGAGACCCACGCTCTGTGGAACAACACCATGTGCCCCTGAAACCAAACAGACTTCTCATATAGCAGTGTGGGAAATCACTAGGCCATCTTGCCATGTCTCTTTCTACCCAGGAGTGACCAGGGGAGACAGCCTAAAACTGTAGTAATCCATGGATTTCCTGGTATTGGAAAAACAACCCTGGCCAGAAAGATGATGGTGATGTGGGCACGCAACGAGTTCTACTCAACACAAATTGAAGTATGCTTTCTATTTCCATTGCCAAGAACTGAGCTGGGAGGGAGAGCACAACTTCTCTGAGTTGATTAGGGGCCAAAGGCATAGGCTTCAGGCTCTCATGTCTAGGATTTTTATCCAGACCAGATCAACTTCTGGTCCTGTTTGATGGCTTTGAGGAATGCCCATCTTCCCTCATCACAGGACCAGCTGGACTGATGGAAGACTGGAACCAGAAGGTGCCTGGGTCTGTTCTCCTAAGCAGTTTGCTAAACAAAAGGATGTTTCCAGAAGCCACATTCCTAATCATGGTGAGACTAACCTCCAAGTCACTCAAGTGAAAGAGAATGAGATTCTTTTCACCTGGTGGCAAGATGTCTGCTCTGTGCTCAAAACAACTGAAGATTTGGAAGTGCTGGCTGTGCCTGACAGCTTCCTGGAGACTCCATTCATGCAGAAATTCACCATGGCCCTGAAGCAGCCCCATCGTAAACTGCCAAGACTAAGGCTGGAGAACTGTAAGCTCACTGAGGTCTCTTGTAAAGGAAGGATCTGCTGAGCTGGGCCAAAGATCCTTGTGGAAGTCTCTTGAGAGAGTCAATTCTACTTTCTTCAAATCTCGACTGCTTAAGGCAAAAGGCAAGTGTCTGGAGGACTTCCTGGCTCTTGATTTTCAAAGAAACTTTCTGATAACCCAGCAGTGCACTATTTTCAAAGCTCTCCTCCCTGGTTTCAGTCAGAGAGTAAAGTAGCTGTGAGTGTTCATAGCATTTATAGTCATTCAAATCGATTATCACTTTTATGGCCTTTAATTTGTTAGCCAAAGATAACTTGCACTTGAAGGATCTCATCAAGATGCTGGCACAGTCTTCATTTGAAAGACCAGGTAAGAAAAGCCCCATTTGAGCCTCATAGCTTTCTCTTTCTCTTGACATTGTGATCAGATCCCGGATGTTCATGAGACTCAACTGGTGATAACACATCATTCTTTGCAGGGGGGGGGGGGAAAGGGAAGAGAACATAAAACAAGGCACCAAAAACATTCCTGGAAGGTAAACAAGACAAACACATAACGATCTCCTTGGCCTTCTAGCTTTTGAAAAATGTTCACATGAAGAAAGGTGTCTATGGTGGTCTCATCCACCATGACATGCTAAAGTTCCTCTTGTCAAACACACTCTTCAGTTCCCATATGCCCTGGGCAGCCAGGTGGCACACACCTTCCAGTTGCTTTTGGTAATTACCACTGGAAAGTTTCTTAAATATTGTTGGGAACAAGTTAGCCAGATACAAGACAAACACAGACATTGCATTTGGACAAGCCTTTGTGATATCTACCATTTTTTATATTTGTTTTCTTAGATAACAGTACACCACCTATCACACCCCAGGGACCCGACAAATGGACAAGAGAGTGGCATTTTTCATGGCAAAATCCACAGTTTGATTGCTTGTCATTTTACTTGTGAAATACAACCTGAGATAGTTGAATGTTTTAATCTCATTGAATCCTGTCAAGGTGACATGGAAGGGATATTTGCCTTCTGTCTCAGGCACAGTAAGGTGCTGACCCACCTGAGCCTGGCAGAGAACAACTTGAAGGACTCAAGGTCAAGGCATATCTGGAAAGATTTAGAACATCTAATGTGTCCTTTGCAGATACTGGTGCTGAGGCAGTGTTCTTTGACTTCAGCTTGCTGTGAATATATGATGTCAGCTCTCAAGAACAACAAAAGCCTGAGAAGTCTGGATCTGAGTCACAATAGGTTGAGGGACCATGGGGTCATTCTAACCTGTGATGCTCTGGCAGATGCTGATTGCAATGTGTTAATTCTGGAGCTGGAACAGCATGGGTGTTATGAGTAGGTTTTCCCTGCCAGCCTTGTCCCACAGCTGCACCAGCCCCAAATAACACAAAGAGATGCTGTATTTGATATAAAGCTGTAGGCAGTTACTAGTTTCTTATCAGCTGGCTCTGTCTTAAATATTAACCCATTCCTATTAATTTAAATATTTCCATGTGGTTTCATCTTACCAGAGAGAGCGCCTGGGATACTACCCTGTAGGTCCTCCATCTTGAATCTCCTCTCTACTCCTTCCTCTCTCCTCCTAGTCTCCTAGTCCCTCCTATCTTGCTTTCCTATTTGCCAACAGTGCTTTATTCATTAACCAATAAGAGAAACATATTTACAGAATGACATCTCCCATCATCTCCTCTTTTCTGTCTAAAATAAAAAGAAGGATTTTAACCTTAGCATAGCAAAATAAATCACACAACAGTTATAAAATAAGAATCACAGTTAACAATAGTTCATTAACTTTAGTAAGATTTAAAGAAAATATTCTATCATCTATCCTTTCTTTGTGAGACTAAAGTCTTATATGTAACTTATCTTTAATCTTAGCTAAGGAAACCTATAACCATAACTATCTGTCTTCAACTCCCTCAAAGACCACAGAAGGATAATATATAAACTCTAGAATTAACAGAGACAACTCGCCTGGTCATTCATCCAAAGTTCTTCTGTCACATTCCATCTTCAGCCCATAGACCACAGTGTGTCTGGCAGACTCCTCAGCAAAGCAGGAAACTTTAAACTGTCCATCTGTATTGGCAGTTTGTCAGTCACTTTACTCTGTGTCCTGCAGAATGTCTGGCAAACTCTGCCATGAAGTAGGAACCCTGGAGCAATATCCATCTTGTATCAGCAGTTACTTTCCTGTGGGCCCGGCATGCCCAGTTTATACAGCATAAAGTTAAACAGTCTAGACAAGAGTAGTATCTTGCCCAAATGGCTAGTCTTGCTATATTGAAAGCAAACTCCATAACGAGTTTCTTCGATGTCCATCTTCCTTTCTGATGCAGGTGGTGTTGTGATGGGAGATGTCATTCTGTAAATATGTTTCTCTTATTGGTTAATGAATAAAGCACTGTTGGCCAATAGGAAAGCAAGATAGGCGGGACTAGGAGACAAGGAGGATTCGAGGAAGTAGTAGGGAGGAGTCAGCATGTAGAGATTGGAGAGAGCAGATGCCGGCCCTACTCTCTGGTAAGATGAGACCACATGGAAACACTTAGATGAATAGAAATGGATTAATAAGACAGAGCTAGCCAGATAAGAAACAAGTAACTGGCCAACAGAATTATGTCAAATACAGTGTCTCTGTGTGTTATTTGTGGCTGGCGCCTCCCTGGCTCCAGGCCGGCAGGAAAACCTACTTGTAACATATGGCGCTGCAACATGGCTAATAAAAACTTCCACTTAAAATTAAGAAAAGCTAAGAAAAGGATTTTAGAAACAAAAGAACAGAAACAAGCAAGGCGTCTTGCTAACAGCATTTTCCTGGGTTGGACTCTGTTTTGCTAGAGACAAGCAGAGATTTGTGCGGCTCCTTTAAGGGAGATTTCCTGACTCAGCATAAGCAGCAAAAAACCACAAGGCTTTTAAAGAGCTCTGTTAGCAACTGAATGGTGTGTACAAGAGCTGGCAATGGCAGTGGCCACATCTCCAAGCAGGCAACATGCTGCTGGATGGCAGTTTAGACCAAGGCCATGAGCACAGCTCTCAGTTCTGGCTGTAAAAGTACCCACCACCATCTTGGATAGACTGCGGCTAACACAGCTATGATTTTCATTTGAGCAATGTTGTTGTTTACCAGATAAAGACTCGTGGCTGGAAAAAGATAAAGATTTACAGTAAAGACAGATTCACATTAAGAAAAAGCACTAAAGGTTTACAATGTGTTTTTAAATATATGTAGGTTTGGGAGAGAAAAAGAATAAAATGGTTTTAAAAAGACAGAGAGAAGCTGAGTGTGGTGGCACACGCCTTTAATCCCAGTACTCAGGAGACAGAGGTATACGGAGTTAATTTCAGGACAGATAAAAGTTACACAGAGAAACACTGTTACAAAAAATGAAAAAATAAAAAGTAAAAGAAACAGTAATAAAAAAAACACATAAAGATGGAGAGAATCTGGATATTGTAAGGTATTATATTGTCTCTATCGTTTGACTGCTGAGGAAATAACAACTGTTAAAACAAATGTTGTTAGCAGAGCTCTTTAAAAGCCTTGCAGTTTTTTTGTTTGTTTGTTTGTTTTTTGGTTTTTTTGTTTTGTTTTTAGGCCGGATAGATATTTATTCAGGTAGAAATAACTTACAACATAGACAGATGAAAACCAGCAGGTTCCTGGTCCCAGGGATGCCTCCAGATCCTCTCCTCTGACCATGTCTGCCAGCAAGAGAACACTCCTGGGCTCCTCCTCAGACCTAGTTCCCCAGGTCACTTAGACCATTCTCCACCCCCAATGGGCGTGGTCAGTGCCACACATGCAAAGTGAATATCTCACTACAAGTGGGTCCACCTCCATCTCTTGCCTAGCTCTGGTGGCATCCGTGCTCCATAGCCACAGAAAGCTGATACATCTAGACCTGAGCAAGAATGTCACTGGAATCAATGGCATACTGACCTTGAGCCTGGCATTCTTGTACCATAGGCAGGCAGAAGCTGTCATTCTGAAGAAGAAAACAAATGATAAAGTGGACTTGAAATCCCACCAATCTCCACCCTGGAAAGTTTCACCCTGAAAATTTCCATTCCCCCCCCCCCAAAACACTCAATATAAACCCTGCCTTCTGCTCACTTCTCTGCTGTTTCTCGCCTAAGCAGAAGTAGCTACCATCATGGTTCCCCCCCCCAATAAATCTCTTCTGTGAGGTATATGGTAAAATCGTCAATCAAAGAAACACCCTGGCCCTGAACCCAGAGACAGTGAAAGAAACCTGTCCTGGACTTAAACCCAGAGCCAAATCTGCCCCTGACCAACTGAGCATGAAACCAACTAATTCCTGAGCATAAAATCTAGCTAATCTCTGTGTTTGTCCAAAATCAGGGATTGAAATCCAATTCCCACCCCAAAAATCTCCACCCTGGAAAAACTCCATTTCTAAGAAGCCCTATATAAGTAGTGTGCCTGTTTGCTGCTGCTTTTTTCCCCCCACCCTGTCAGAGGCAGCCACCCTCCTGGATTCTTCTCTCCTAATAGATCTCCTGAATGAGGTTTGGGTGAGACCTTCTTTTGCCAGAGCAGAGACAGAGCCTGAGCAGTGTAGAGCAGGGTGTAACACTTTGACTGGGGAAACCTTCCCCTATGGAAGCAGAGTTGTTACACTCCAGGGGACCTGAGCAGAACTGTAACTTCAGGGCTATAACACTGGGAGACCTGAGCAGAACTGTAACAACTTCAGGGCTGTAACACTGGGAGACCTGAGCAGAACTGTAACAACTTCAGGGCTGTAACACTGGGAGACCTGAGCAGAACTGTAACTACTTCACTGGGGAAGGAAGCCCTTTTCTGCCTTGGCAGAGATGTTATGTCAGGGAAACCTTTCCCTACAGAAGGGCTGTAAGCTGCTGTGCTTACATTGACTTGTGGTACTCCTTGGCTGCTGACTGCCAGGATACCTGCAGTATCCTGCAATGCTCACACTCTTTACTGTGATGAGGGTGATAAATTTCCTTGAAGGGTACACTCCACATTGACACTTGTTTCAGGCTTTCCTGGAAGAAGTCAGTATGGAATATAGCTTCCTTTCCTCCCATAGTGAAATGAGGTGGCTCTCAAGAGGCCAAATACTCAGGTTTTTTGAAATGTATGAAGAGGTAAGACAGTGTCTTCACCAAAGCTGGTGGGACGGATGGCTTTGAAAGTAAAGAGTTTAAAGTTTACCTGGCCTACCTTGCAGACTTAGTCAAACCCTTGAACTTGGTGCATCTATGCACAGGACTGGCCCTAACATGCTGTCAGCTAGAGAAGGTTGTCTGCTTTTGTCGGGAAGTTTCTGTTCTGGCAAAAATGCATGGAGAGAAGAAACTTCACCATCTTCCCTTTTCTCAAAGAAGTCAAGGCATCAAGTAAGGAGGGTGGAGGCATAGCAATGGAAATCTTTATCTTCAACAGCCCAGAAGCTTCTTTCATGGATACTTTACAGTGGGAGACCTGGGCAAGGTAAGTGAAATGATACTAAACTGTGGTGGTTTGAATAAAAACGGCCCCCATAGGTCTGTAGGGAGTGGCACTATTAGGAGCTATAGCCTTGCTGGAGTAGGTGTGGTCTTGTTGGAGGAAGCATGTCTCTGGGAGTAGACTTTGAGGTCTCAGATATTCAGGCCAAGCCCAGTGTCACACTCTCTTGCTGTTGCCTGCTTGTTTGGATGTGGAACTCTCAGCTACCTCTTTAGCATCTCTTTAGCATCATGCCTGCCAGCTCAGCACCAAATTCCCACTGTGCTGATGATGGACTAAGCCTCTGAACTGTAAGCTAGTTCCAACTAAATGCTTTCCTATGGTCATAGTATAGTGTCTCTTCACAGCAATAGAAGCCTTAACTAAGATGTGGAGCCTTTTCTCCTTTATCTAGATTTTTGTCTAAAATGGCCATTTAATAAAAAATGACCCTGCTGGGTGGTGAGCCAGTGGCCACATCTTAATGGAGTTTGAGATGATGAAGCCTGGGATTTCTGGTATACTCAATTCCCAATGATTCCCAGGCTGGCCAAGACTTCTCTAGGAATTCTCATGCTGTTTGCAACTGCACAGCTGTGTGAGCTGGGATTTTTAACACTTCTATACCAATTCAAAACTAACCCAAAGGCTGTATTAGTATGAGTGAGGACATCTGGATGGCTATTTCCAAAAATGTCCCTTATTTCTCAGGCATCACTGAATTGAAGCTGCAACAGCAGCAGGAGGTGCTGTGAGCTGGTGTGTGTTGGGGGGGGGTTGCTTGTTTGTTTTCATTGTTGTTTTGTTTTTCTGGGGGTTTTTCTGTTTGTTGTTGTTGTTTGTTTGTTTTTTGAGACAGGGTTTTTCTGTATTGCTTTGGAACTCCCTATGGCTAGTCCTGGAACTCGCTCTATAGACCAGGCTGGCCTCGAACTCACAGAGATCTGCCTGCCTCTGCTTCTCGAATACTGGAATTAAAGGCATGCACCACCAACACCCAGCCTGTTTATTCTTTCTTGATTTGTGTTGTTTTGGTTTTTTGAGATAGGGTTTCTCTGTGTAGCCCTGGCTGCCCTAGAACTCTCTGTAGACCAGGCTGGCCTCAGAGATCCTCCTGCCTCTGCCTCCCAAGTGTTTAGATCAAAGGTGCGTAATATTAAGCGTTAACTTTCCCATTTTTCTTTTTATATTATTTATATTATATTATTATAAACTGAGTTTTAGAAGTTTTAGCTACTTTTAATAAGGTATATGAAAATCTGGTTTGAAAACAAGGAATACAAACAGCAGAAAAAGTTAAGTACCACAGCCTGGCTGATACAAAAGTTTTATGTGTGTATAACTTTTTGATGAAGTAACTTCAAGACCAGCTTCATGAGGATTTTTCTCAAAACCAGGCAAAGAAATAAATTACTTAAAAAGAAAAATAAGTCTCCCTGATGCTTAGCTGGCTTTTGGTAACCTGTTCCCCATGCTGAATTACCTGGCCCCACCTGGACATGAGGGGAGGAGCTCCATCCTGCCTCACCTTGATGCATCAGGCCTGTCCCTTTCTGAATGGAGATGGAGGAGGGAATGGGGAGGGAGGTAAGTGGGAAAGAAGAGGGGACACAAAGAGAGGAGAGAGGGGATACTGATTGGTATGTAAAATAAATGAAAAAAGTTATTTAAATAAAAAAAATTAAATTGCTGGAGAATTTTCTGTTCTTGCAGAGGGCCTGGTTCTGTCCCCAGCACCAACATTGGGTAGCTCAGAACGACCAAATAACTCCAGTTTCAGAAAATCTGATGCCTTCTTCTAGCCTTCATGAACACCTACACACACATACTGCCCATACAGACAAGCACACTCACACACACACACACACACACACACACACACACACACACCACACCTAAAATAAAAATAAATAAGGGGGATGAAGATATGGCCCAGCAGTTAACAGTGTGTACTGCTCTTACAGAGGACCTGAGTTCAGTTCCCAGCACCCACATCAGGTGGCTTACAACTGCCCGTAACTCTAGCTTCAGGGGAAGCAGATGCTCTGGCTCCAAAGGGTACCTATCTCACAGCACATGTACTCATACATATACATAACTAAAAATAAATATTAAATCAAGTTAAATAAATAAATAAATAAACAAACACTGGAACACTGAATATGGTATGATAGGCTAGGAACTGAGCCGAGAAGAAAGACGGGATCTACCATAATTAAGGACAAACTGACAGTGACCCCTCCCTTCTCCATGAGGATTGTTACTAGGAGGCTAATCAACATTATAGAATATGAAGCAATACAGTAGGAGGAGGAACGCCTTATGAAACACTTGCTTCTAACCGCACTCTTTGGAGTTAGTCTCGGTGTCTATTCCCTTGTCTCCTATGCTGTGGATACTATAATACTGATAAATATCCTGATACATTAGGTAATCTATGTTTTTAATTATTTCAGTGCTCCGAGTCAGCAAGCCTGCTGAGGGCTTCCTGCCCCTCACCAAGATTCTGGTTAACAGTCCTGTGGTAAGATGAGGGGACCACATTCCTATCCAAGTCCCAGGCAGAGGCTGTACTTGCTCACTCACCCTGACTTCCTCACACCACACTTTCCCTTGTATGTATTTTTCTAAGACAGCTTAACTGTCTTGAGCGACCAGAGTATAAATTATAAACAAGATGGCCTACGTACATGTGACATTCACACATACACAAAGCACATACAAATTAAAAGGGAAAGTTTAAAAAAAACTCTAACAAATATGTTTTCCATAATAATATGCGTATTGGCACAGATCAATCGTATGTGTTCTTTTTTGATTTTTTTTCTAACATAAGCAGTTCAGTCAGAGGATGAGAGTTTATAACCAGTAGGTGTCACTATATGCAGGTTTGGGTGGAAGCAAACGTGCTGAGATACCACAAATGTGACATTAAACATTTGTAGAAAGGGTATTAGGTGCTGAAGACATAGCTCAGCAGTTAAGGGTGTTTATTGCACTTACAAGGGACCCAAGTTTAATTCTCAGCACCCTCACCAGAAGACTCTCAACCACCTGTAACTCCAGCTCCAAAGGAGTCAAGTCTCTGGCCTCCATGCAGGTACCTGCTACTCATGCGTTCGCGCGCGCGCACACACACACACACAAACACACACACACACAATTTATATGTACATATACACATAAATACATAATTAAAAAATAATAATTTAAGGTATTAACTCAAAATTATAGTGCTCACCCTGAACTTCTGATGTCTCAAACTTGCCAGACAGAACTCTGGTGCAGCCTGTTAGCACCAGACCATACCTAAGGGATTGACCATGTCATAAACCGGTGGAAATCAAAACAGACATATGAGCATCATGATACTTGGGTTATAATTCAATTGAAAGCACAGCCTCTGGACACTTAGTCTGTAGACTTTTGATCACTAAATTATAGGGAAATGGTGTCAAGCTTGACTTCCGTACTTAGAAAGCAGTGAGAAAAGTGAATTGGAGGCTTCCAGCATCCTTCTGAATTTGAAGGCCAGTGTAGAGTTGCTGTGTAATTCATAGTCTTCGTACTTTAACTCCTGAGACTAAAGAGACTTGAGGTTGCTTTCACTCTGCAGATTTAACAGAAACCTTATTCTGATTCAGAAATGGATTCAGTTCTTGGCTTAGTGACTCACTTGCTGCATAAACATGTTAACAATAATAAAGGAGAGTTGGGCAGAGAAGAGTGGAGGGGGGAGGCTCAGCGGGTAAGGGCCCTTGCCTCCAGGCTGACGACCTGAGTTTGATCCCTAGGATCCACGTGGTGGAAGGAGAAAACCGACTGCAACCTCCACGTTTGCACTGCAATGCACACGATCATCCACGAAATAAACAAATTAAAAAAAGAGGACTGGCCAATTGCTGCTCAGTGTTCGTTGGTTCACTTGCTGCTTTTCAACATAGCCCCCTTATTTTCCTTGAGACACTTTCCTTCTGGTGTCCGTCGGTCCTTGTGGCCCCCCTCTCTTAAGTACATTTAGCCCCAGTGCTTTCTCTGGAATAAAAGATGCTGTGTAGACCAAGTTACCAGGATACATCTAAATCTTCCATTAATCAGTTCTGCTACCTTAGGCAGAGAAGGTGCCAGAAAATTCATGCAACAGCCAAAGGAAAGAGATCTCCGTGCCATTGCTCCTGCTGCTAAATGCTGCCATGCTCTTTTTTCCCCCCTTCCACTCCTTGAGGCCACACAGTCTCTTGTATTGGAGGCTACTTCCCATTGCAAACCATCCAGAGACTGGCCTCATCTGTCCAGCTTCCAGGATTATGAATGAGTAATGGGGAAGTTTTGATTCTAGTTTTGTTAATGTGGTTTTGGGCAATGCTTACTTATTCTTGCTCTCAATTTTCTCCTCTATAAAATCAAACGCTTGTAGAGATTTCCCTCATAGAACCTTTTCATTCCCCCCTCCAAATGAGTCATATTTTATTTGCTTAATTGTTATGTTTTGTGGCACTAGCAATATAAAGACATTTTCCTAGCTATAAGCAGAACTAGGCAGTTGGTTTATTGCATTTGAGGATTTGGGGGTGGGGAGCATCAGTTTGATTGGTTGGAACAATAACAACTCTTTATTTATTACATACATCTTTCTGGCAAAAGCCCTCTCTACATTTTCAGAACTTTATCTCTCATGTTTTATTTTTGTATATTTTAAGTGTCATTTGTTTGTTCTTGTTGTATGTATATGTGACATGTGCGTTTGTGGTGGTTGTACATGCACATGTGACACAGCATGTATGTGGAGGTCAGACCTTTGGGTTTGTTGTGCCTACCGGGTTTCCTCAACCTCCAAGGAAGTGACTCCCGACTGTAAAAGCAAAAGGTTTTTATTGCTAAGAACCAAATCGGCTGAGACCTCACTCTGTCAGAAAAGTAAGGTGCCCACTTACAATTGCAAAGCGTTTTTAAAGGGACAGGGAGGTTTGAGACTGCTAGTCTCAGCTCATAAGGTTTCCAAGGTTTCAGAGATTTCATAGAGTACAAAGTTTTTACAAGGCGGGATTGTTTAGCGCACCTGCAAGGTTAGGGGGTTTTCTTTCTCTAGGACAGGCAAGCTCAGTGGCCTTGTCCTTAAGATAATGGGGGGTCAGGGAGAATGTACTCTCCAGTCAGGGAGTTATCTATATCTATTGGCAGAAACACTTGTTCTTTCTAGTTTTCCCTTCTTGCCATGAGTCCCGTATCTTTTAGTTATTAATTTTCCCTCACAGCGGTCAGTTCCACCTTTCCTCAGGTTCCTAGGATCAGATCAAGCTCAGATGGTCAGGATTGCACAGCAAAGCAGTTTTACTAGCTAAGCCACCCCCCGGAGTGTTTTATTATTAATAATATTAGAACAGGAATATGGTAGACACTCACGTGGCCATTTCCAGACTAAAAATCATTAGCATTTACCATGACTCTCTGGTTAAATGCATAGATATTCATTATTCAGGAATCAAAAAACTCACCTACTTTAAAACAAGGAGAATCTAATGTAAAAGATTAGTAGCCAGCTAGTAGGGAACTGAGAGGGCCAAAGGGAAAGGGGATAGTGACATATCACAGAGACAGCAATGCAGGACACAGCCAGCAAACCAAGGGCTGGCTGGATGAATAGAAGAGGCTGGGGTCATTGAAGCATAGAGGAGGGGTCCCTTGGAGTGATACTCATTGGTCTAAGGAGGATGCTATGGTTGGCCAGTTGTTGATGCCTTAGGATCTCAGAAGT